GATGGCAAAGATCACTCACAAGTTAATCGATGGCAAAGATCACTCACAAGTTAATCCTAAGCTAGAGAAATGAGTGTAGCTCTAAACTGTTTGACAACTAAGATTGAAATCATTAATTGCTTGATTACATGAGAGCTTTGATGGAACTCAGGACATTGTTATACAATTTCAGAAGTTATATGGGGAAAATCACATTGGGAGATTCAGCAAATTAAACCTATATTCATTTTTGAGTGTGATGATCAACAATTTTAGGTCTTAACTCCATAGCTTGGCTTAGGTTTGTATTTAGGCTTTCTTTATTTTGAATGATAACCATGAGGTGGTCCTTAATGTTCATTTCATTTCAAAGATTGCTTATATGCATGTCTCATATAAATCTTGTTCCCGTGTATAAAAATACTCAATATTACCTGTCATTTGGGAAATTTATTTCTCAACCATTACTAAAGTAGGGTTCTTAATAGTTTGCGACTTGTAGATGAGTTCTTATCTTTTAGATCCTTCTATAGATGTTTTCTGATTGAAAGATAATGAAGGTTTAATATTGTCTGCATTTTATGACAAAATGTCATGTGAATAATTTTCATGTTATAGCATAGACATATTATATAAACCACCACTTTTCCATCTTATGTAGGATTTAAAAGAGTGACTGATGTTAGTGTTGAAGAAGTAACCATTTTGAATACCTTAGTTTCCATGTTGATTCACCATCCACAGGTTGCCAGTATTTTAGATTCATTCTTACCAATATTCACTGATTACTTCTAATTTGGAACTATACCAGACTTTTATGGTAGAAATGATTTTGGAACACCTGAAGAGAGAGTGCAAGGATTTTTTATTTATTAATTAATTATTTATTTATTATTAATTAATGGGAGGCAAGTTGTTGACGACCCAAAAACAGCATCTCCTTCATTCAAATTTGCATGAAGTCATAAGTATTGAAGATGATATTGAGACTTCTTGCAGGCTTGATTTTCCGATCCGGAATGCTATTTCATACTATAATGAGAGGCTAAAGGTCTTTTTGATGAAGCATCATTTGTATTGTTTTTTAAGAGAAAAGTTTGTAAGCAAACTTATTAGACCTATTTCAGCTTTGTGTGGTGATGGAAGGTTGGTGGACTTGTTTAAAAATTGTTGTGTATTGAGGAAAATAGGTGGATATGATGCCGTCTAAAGCAAAAATATATGGGGTTTTGTCATGAAGGAATGTGGGTTGGGTTTTGGGGTCATTCCATACACTAAGTTGATTTACTTTAAGATTCTGATCAATTTACACCTGTAAAAGTTCCATCTGTAAGTGTCATTATATCGCCATTAGTCCTTGCACTGATTGTTGAATTCACGACTGATAAGATTTGTTCACGATCATCTCCCATATCTTTTGCAACGTCTATACAGTGAGATGCAACAAGAATTGTTGCAGATGCAATTCCTGTAGGTTTTTTTATTTTTGGCAGCTGCTTTTTCTGGAAAGGTCATTGATGAGGTTGCAAGGGCTGTGAATATTTGTAACCCCTTTAGTTGAAAAGGTGAATTTTAATGTTTTCGAAACATAAACACAAAGGATCTAACTTCTTTTTATAATTTTTATCTTGATCCATGTTATATTTTTATTTTTCATTTTCTGTCGCATTTATGCTACAAAGTCTACTGGCTCGGTTAAGAGGTATCATTTATTGTTTTTTCAACACAAACCTATAAATCTAACTTGGTGAGATAATTTCTAGGTATATTTCTCATGGAATTCGTTGGTTGTTATTGATATTCTAATGTTTTGCTTTTGTTGTTGTTATCCTTTTTAGAATATAATTATAATCCATCGTTTAATATTTTCACATCTTTAATAAATTAATATCTTAAAATTTCCAATTTCATAATTAGACAATAGAAGGCGAGCTCAGATTAGATTTGGAGTGTCCTTAAACTAGAGTTAAATTTGTGCTTATTAGTTAGTGTTTCCTCAAATTGAGCCCCAAATCAAGCAACAAAAAGAAAAAAAAGGGAAAAAAATTTGCCATTGTACAAAAAAACCAAGGGTTGTCGTTTTTCACATCTAGACTGCCATTGTACAAAAATGCCAAGGGGTTGTGGTTTTTCACATCTATTTGTTTGAATTTCTTTGATTTTTTTTTTATTGTGAATAATTGTTTTTTATGTTTGTTATATTTGTTGGATGATAGTTGAACCAACACTACAATCTAGTTGATGTAATTAGTATTTTTCTTTTGGTATGCTGATTTTTTTTTTGTACAAGAACTGAGTAAGTGGGTGCTATTGGATTGGAAGAAAAGTGAAAGAAAAGCTAGTACTTTTAGAAATATTGGCAACTAATCCAGATGACGAAGGTCAACTTTTTCTTCCCTTTCCTCTCATTGTTGAAATATGGGCATTGTGTTTATTCAAATTATTCCATTTCATCACTGTACCAAAACATTTGTTCTATATATTCATTCAACAATTACTACACGCTTATATTTCACGTTAACCCCAACTAAAGCAACTAACGTGCAACACACGTATGAGAAAAAATTTCAAAATAATTGTGTTGCCCTTTGCGTCACTAGTATGAGAAAAAAGTTTCAAAATAACTGTCTAAATAGATCTGATAAAAGAGTGTGAAAAGAATAAAAGAGTTTGCAAGTGCCCACTTCTTAGTCGATAAAAACTGAATTTTAGTCAAGTATGGCGCTTTAGTATAAAAATTTGTACTAGTCAATATTATTTTGTAGACACCAATATTGAAATATCATTAAAAACATTGTAGTCAGAATCCGTTGAGAAACAAATTGAAACGAGTGTACCCCTGTTTGCAAAACACATTATTTGTCAATTTTTCAAACGAATGCACGGCCCGTTGTCATACAATTCAAATTGTGGTACATGCGTGTCACAGGAGGCCACATTAATGTGGCAGCGCAAAGTTACGATCCTACCCCTCCAACTACCCCTTACTCTTGACGAAGGGGGCTCCCTGCAAAATGTTCAGTCATGTCGCAGTTGTGGAGCCCACTTGAGTCAAAAAAAGGAGGTTGAAAATTGGGAAAAAAAAAAAATGAAATGTAATGCGTATTAATGGGGGCCAAACAGATGCATGCCCGTGCCAACGCGAGTCAATATTGATACAAATTCTTATATATATATATATATGAATAATTTCCTTGGCAATATATAAAAGAGACATTGTGCCTGTATTTTCTTCACAACCAAAACCCAGTAGCATAATGGATATCCAGCTTCTTACATTTAACTTCATTAGTATCTTTCTTTTTATATTTTTCATCTCCTTCTTCATTAAGGGGTGGAAGAAGCCGAAGCATCAAAAGTTGCCTCCTGGTCCACGGAAGCTACCGATGCTCGGACACCTTCACCTCTTGACGGGCGCCCTCCCACACGAATCACTAAGCAATTTAGCTAAAAAATATGGGCCAATCATGCATCTGAAGCTCGGTGAAGTCTCCTCAATCGTCATATCCTCACGTGAAATTGCTAAAAAGGTTCTCACTGTTAATGATCTTGCTTGTGCTGATAGGCCGGAAAGTATTGGAATGAAAACTCTGTGGTATGATTACACGGATCTTGCCTTTAGTCCATATAATGCCTATTGGAGGCAAATGCGAAAATTGTGCATTATGGAGCTCCTAAGTAACAAAAACGTCCGGTCCTTCAGCTCTATAAGGCTAGATGAGACTTCGAGCTTAATAAAATCCATTCAGTCGTCTCATGGAGAACCAATCAATATCACCGACAAAATATTCTCATTTACAAGTAACGTCACATCCAGAGCAGCATTCGGTGAGATACTGAGAAACCAAGATACTTTGATAATGTTCATGAAGAAAGGAGTAGTTTTGGCTGGGGGGTTTGAATTGGCTGATTTTTACCCCTCCTTAAAGTTTCTACAGCTCATTAGTTGGAATAAGCATAAATTGTTGAAGATGCGCCGTCAACTAGATTCAATACTTGACGTTGTTGTCGATGAGCATAAACGCAAACTAGCAACAGGGAAAATAGACAATGAAGAATCAGGTGGTAACAACATAGTAGACGTTCTACTCAGATTACAACAAGGTGGGAACCTTGACGTTCCAATTACGGATGACAACATCAAAGCAATGATTTTTGTAAGTAGTTTCACCATAAAAATTGTATTTTCCTTATAACCTTTGCAAATGTTTGAACATAAACTAATATGCTAGTTTTGTTGCAGGACATGTTCACTGCTGGAACTGAAACTTCATCCACAACACTTGATTGGGCAATGGCGGAGTTGATGAAAAATCCAGATGTGATGGCAAAGGCACAAGATGAAGTAAGGCAAGTCTGTAAAGGGAAGAAGACTATTGAGGAAAGTGACGTTCAAAAACTCAAATATCTAAAGTTAGTAATCAAGGAAAATTTTAGAATACACCCTGCCGTTACTTTACTCCCAAGAGCATGTAGGGAAGAATGTGAAGTTGATGGGTATACTATACCCGTCAAAGCAAGAGTTACCGTTAATATTTGGGCTTTGGGAAGAGATCCAGAATATTGGGTAGAACCAGAAAAGTTTAAGCCAGAGAGGTTTGAGAACAGTTCTGTTGATTTCTTGGGAAATAACTTCGAATATCTTCCGTTTGGATCAGGAAGGAGGTTTTGTCCAGGCATGAACTTTGGCTTGGCAAATATTGATCTTCCTTTAGCTCAACTTCTCTATCACTTTCACTGGAAACTTCCTAACGGAATGAGTCCTGAAGATCTTGACATGACTGAGGTATCAGGAATAAGTGTACAGAGGAAAAACAGCCTTTACTTGATTGCCAAACCTTACAACCCTCCTGTTGATGGTTAATTAATCCCAATTCTTGGTGCTAATAATGAAGCTTCACTGTTTGAATTTTTCTGTTAAAAGCATAGAAATTTATTTGTTATTTAGTGTATGCTTCTTCACCATGGTGATCTTGTATTTGTATTCATGTACGGGCTCAGTTTTTATCCTTACAATAATGTTTAGAATTTAGTATTCATACCGAGATGCTGTCATTATTCAACTTTTTTTCATCCTATTGAAATTTTTTCACTTATATCGATCATATCAGGTCATTGTAGCATTCAGGACTTATCTTGTCAGCAAATGTGTAGAAGATAACCTTTTTTTTTTCTTTCTCCTTCATATTGACTGTTTTCCCATTAAAGCACAATTTCCCTTCTCGCTTCGATTTTCTTTTGCAAATTACCCTCAACAGTCTGATAATCCATGTACAGTTGTTCAGCTTGGCTGCTTGCCATGGATATGGTACTTGTTAACAAGCACAAATTCAATGTTGAGGAATCACTTTCATTGTAATAAAGCTACTATGATTTCAAACATGTATGATGACTTGAGAGTGTGTTTGAAGTTGCCAGTGTCGTGTTTAAGTTTGACAGAAAATAAGTATCTCTCCACATAATTTTTTCTTTTCACTTTTTATTTTCTGTAATGCTTATTATCTTCTGTAATGCTTATTGTCTATAATGTACAAATGACATAACATTATTGGAGAATTGAAAAATAGTTTTTTCAACCCTTTAATCATGAAATTCTATATATATATTATGAATATCTTTATGGATACGATAATGTACATGTAGAATTATACTTGCACTAAATAAAAAAGTACAACTTATTATTGTAGTCATTTGTTTTAAGAAACTTATATCAAATCGGTTTACGAGAGAAAAATCTTTGTGAGAAATATGTGCACTATTGCATGGTAAATCTTCTCTTTCAATCCAAACTAGTTGTAATTGTCCAGGCACCGTACATGGGCTGTCATAGTCGTGCACCACCGATCGTGTCCAGCAGAGAATTTTTCTCTCGGCTAGTCAATGGACACGCGGCCACACACGTACGGGTAAGGCTGCACGCTTGACATTTTCAAATATTAAGCTATCTATTAGTCTACTTTTACATTCAACTCTTCGTCTTGTGTGGGTATTATTTCACCAATAATCGTGTCCATTCGTCAAAGAGATTTTTTTCTCTGTAAATAGGATGATTTTTTATAATTGAAATTGTTAGAAACAAACAAGTTATCAGAATCACTCTAATACCAATTGTCATCATCGGGTCAAATAATTGAAGAACGAGAAAATTGACAATATGAAAATAATAGATCATGAAGAAGATAAGATATATGTGAAAACCCAAATCCAAGAAAATCACAGACAAAAGCAGAGAATTCACAATAATCAATAGTAAGAAATTAAAAAGAATGTCTTTGGACCAATAACTAATTGAACAATTAGTCAATTTCAATATGTTTTGTATGCCACATATTTATAATCAAAGAATCCCTAACATATTAGGGGAATTAATACATAAAGAGTTTAATATAAGGTGAAATCTCAATACAATTGCTAAAACCAATAATAGAATTATTTGGATGAAATAAGAGTTAAATTAAAAATTCGTCAAAAGGGGGGGATCATTCTCCTTATCTTTTTGGAACTCCTTCAAGAATTCTTCAAGTCCACTACCATCTTCCAATACTACTCCAACAGTATTTCCAATCAAAATACTCAAGAAGAATTCAATTCACAACCTAATTCTAACAATCTTCACATTGACATGAATTTCATTACAATGAATAAAATTTAACTCGTCAACTCCAACCAAATTCTCCAAACAATAACACTTCTCCAAATTATTCCGCCTCTCTATCATGCCCCTGTCGGACATACTCAGCAATTGTGAACTAAATCCAAGCCCTGCTTACTAGTCAAACTACATTGCATGACAACCTTGTTTGAATCATCCCGTTCGCTTCCAACTACTGCCAATTCACCAAAACCTGCTGGAACCACCATGAGCACTTCCAACTCCACATGAGTTATCTAACTTGCTCAAATCACCATGAGCAACAAGATCACAACTAACTCCATCTGAGCTACTAGAAAATTCCCCAATATTATTGTTCAAATTACCGCGAGCAAGTCATTAACAAATGATTCCACCTGAGTCATCGCTCATAAATCCATAAGTTGCAGCTGCATCCAAAGGAACGTCGGACCTTCCAGAAATATATAATCAATCCTTACATTGCTTCTCCTCTAGCATTATAACAAAAAATCTACCATAACAACAAATCTTGTTGCGATCTAAAAGCGGACCTCAAATTTCATGCTTGCCATCCCTGAAACAATCAACATTGTTCAAATCTCGCTTTAATAACCAATATAGCCCTTCGAAGAACCACCAAAACCTTGGCTCTGATACCACTTGTTAAAAACAAAAATGTTATTAGAATCGCTCTGATACCACTTGTTATACTCAAGCCAAATAATTAAAAAACGAGAAAATGGACAATATGAAGATAATGAATGACAGAAAATAAGATTTTCGTGGAAACCCAAATCCTGAAAAACTACTGGCAAAGCAGAGAATTCACTATAATCAATAGTAAGGAGTTACAAAGAATCTTTTTGGACCAATAACTAATTAAACAATTAGTCAATTCCAATATGTGTTGCACACCACATATATATAACTAAAGAATTCTTAACATACTAGAAGAATTAATACATGAAGAGTTCAATATAAGGTGGAGTCCCAATACAATGTGTAAAACCAATAATAGATTATTTGGGATGAAATAAGAGTTAAAAAATTTCAAAAAAAATGGGAATCATTCTTCTTATCTTTTTTGAACTCCTTCAAAACTTCTTCAAGTCCACTACCAACTCCCAATACTACTCCAACAATATTTATGATCAAAATACTCAACAAAAATTCGGGTCAAATCCCAATTCTAATAGAAATACACAACATACATATCTCAATGTTGTAAATCAAAATCATCAAACCTTTATACAAAATTCAAATCATTGTTCTTAAGTTCTTATTCTTGGATTACTTTAGTGCTTTAGAAATCTGGAATACTAGAAAGTGTGGCTTCAGCGATGAAAAATTACCGGTGGTCCATTTCCGTTGCTAATAGCGATGTATTACTAATGGATTTCCAGCAACATATGAATTTAATTATTTTAAATTAAAAAGACAAGATTTACCTATGAAAATAACAGATACTAGTTGTCCGTGATTTTCATATGTATTCCGTTGCTAAACTTTGAATAAAAATAAATAAATATTTTAAAATGCTTATCAATGGACATTTTCGTAGGCAAATTTGGATTAAAAAATTTAAAAATTACTTAAAATATACCAATGAATATTTCCATTGATGATTCTGTCGGAAATATTTGACCTGACCCGCCTTTCAAGCTTAAAAATAAAATATCAATTATAAATGCTTTTCTTGCTTCCCCAAAATTCGACCTCACACCCCCAACTATTTTTCTTCATTGCCGAAAACTCGACCTTACACCAAATTGTCCCAAGTATTTTGTAGTTCTACAAAAAATAATTAAAATATCAAGCTTGAAATTCGTATAGATCATGGTACAAGCTTGAATCATACTCATATTTTTTTGTATTTCCATTTCAAGATAATATGGTGAGTGATTTATAAATATTTATGAGAAATCCTTTTTTATGAGAGAAGTTTCTTGAGTTCAAAATTTATGTCCATATGATGTAGTATTGTATCAATGCATTATAAAATTTTGAGTCAGAGCGGGCAACCGTTGACCCTCGATCATATGCCGTAATAAAATATTAAGAGTCCGTTTGATATCATTTTTTGGCAAAAAAAAAATGCATTTTGTAATTGCAATTTGATGGAAAATATGTGGTTAAAAATAAGGAAATTTTTTAAATTTGCATGTAATATTATTTTATTGAATGATGTATGGCTGAAAACAAGAGAGAGAAAAATATATTTTGAAATAAATGGGAATCAAACAAGGCCTAAAAGTTAAATATGACAATTATTTTGTTCAAATTGAACATATATAAACCATACTCACTAATGACATTGTTGCCAAGTTTTGTATAATTCAAAGGAAGAACACGAATTCGATTCTTTGCAACTAAATTAAAAGCATTAAAACCTAACAAATATTATTTTGTTAAATTTAATGTCGAAATTCAACAAGTGCCATAATGGTTAGGCTTTCAATAATCCTAACAAGTGGTCACATGTTCGAATACCCTTTGACGCCCTCCATGTTGGTAAAAATTGTAGAACTAAAAATGTTGCACAATAAATTAGTTGGTAAGGGTTTCAAACTTGGGACTTTCAATTTGTACATGCAATATCTAACCAACTTAACTAGAAGAGCTATTTGAAATTAAAATGAATTAGTAGTAATATAAGCTAAAAAGTTCATCTATTGTGTAAAAAAAAAAAAAAATGCTCTCCGCAAATCCAGTATGTATGACTGCGGGTGTTTGTCAAGTGCTGGATCCACCACTAGGTATTACTATATGGATCCTGCATTTAGTCCCTAAAATTACTATTGGAGGCAAATGCCGAAATTGTGCATTATGGGGCTCTTATGTAAAAAAAAAATGTCGATCCTTAACCTCTACAAAGCTAGATGAGACTTTGAGTCTAATAAAATCTAGTCATTTCATGGAGAATTAGGGGTGTCAACGAGTCGACTCGAGTTGGCTCGCGAGCCAAAAATCGAGGCTTGGGCTCGACTCGAGCTTTTTTTGGCTTGACTGAGAAAAAGCTGATCGGCCAAAAAATCGAGGTTCAACCCGAACTTTTGGCTCAAGCCTTACCGAGCCGAGTCGTCTTAGTTTTTTTCTTTTTCATTTTCATTGCAACTAGTATGCTGCCTTTCTTGTCATGGACCGTAAGGTGATGAATTGAGGCTTGGCATGACATGAGAATGTCACGAAACAAAATGGGAACATGACATAGACTTATGGCAAATAAGGTCTAAGCTTCGACGGTATATGGCGATGAGGGGGTCGCCAAATTTAGTAGGGGACTAACTTACGTCCCCCATGGTCGCAGCCGATACGTCAAGGTTGCGGCTGGGAAATTTAGATAATGCAGGCAGGGCGTTATGGCTGGACGTAAGTACTTGTGGTAGGGGACACAAGTAGGAAAAACACAGGAATTGCGTTAGGAAATGCAAGTTGAACTTGCGACAGAGGATGCAGGTAGAACATAAAGGAACCTACGGTAGGGGACGGAGGCAGGACCAAGACAGGAAC